CTTGTCCAACTTCGCATGAGGTCACTGCTCATTTCCTTGCTTGAGACTATAAATAACACGACTCACACCGGCTAATCTTCAATGTTGGCTGTCATTGCACACTGGACCTTGTCCAGCGCGTAAAGAAACCCTGGCGTCAGTGACAACGCTACGTAATGCATGGACAATTACTGTTTGCGAGAAAAGAGGGAAAGGCATAAATAATTAATATTCTCACTCAATGGCTTCCTGCCTCCCCATCAGTTCGACTTCACAGCGTTTACTCCTTTCTTCGTTTCAAATTGAAATCTACCATTGTATGCCACCAGACTCTGTCAAAAACAAATGGACGCCAATAATACCCCATTTACCCTCGACATCACACTTCAGTACCTCCGTACCGTCAATAAAGTCAACAAATACGTAAGAATAACTTCTTTCCTTCTTCACTTCTCTCCCGTGTTCTTACAGTGCTCCAATGTAGGATTCGCCTCTGTACGCCACCGGCAGGGCACCACCAAGTGGCCATCTTTTGCATGCGACGGATACTGGGCGTAGAGCGTTGGACCTCTACAAGGAGGTCCGAAAGGTTTCTGATCCCAGAAAATCCAAGTCCCTGGTTGTTTGCCTCGAGATTGCCAATGCTCCTTCCACCCAGGCTCTGGGCCGCGCGGCATCGAGCGTACGGCTTATCTACCGCAATTATCTGCCACGGGGTGAAGCTCAGTGGACATCAATTGATGTTGTGCTTGGGTCAAGGAGGTTCTTCGGTCCCTTCACGAAAATCACCATATCAATCTCTCAGTGAAGACTGGTCAGCCCCCTCATCGCCTTTTCAACTAGCACAACTCTGTTGACAAATCTGTAGACACAATCGAGTGGTGCTGTCAATTGACAGCCGACAGCTACATCTCACAAATGGGAAGAGCCGAAATATTGAACAGCCTTGACTGGATCGGACAACCCACTGTTCCTATGAACATCGATTCTGCATGGTACGGATCATCTCTATGGAAACAGAGACTAGTCGCACTGGCAGTCGCACTAGATACTATAGCACGAAGAATGGTTACGGAAACTTACAACCGTCGTACGTGGTAGCCTTGTAAAGGAAAGACGGCAGGGGGTTGCTTTGCCGTCAGACTTGTATGTTGGACTTCCATGTTAGTGTACTTTTGTTAGCAGCACATTGATGACACCAGAGTGAAACTACAGCATCTAAACTCCTGCTTTGATATCAATGGTTGGTGAAAATTCCCGATTTAAGCTGTTGCGTTGGCCAGACATGCACCATATTGGATATTTTCAAGCGGTGCGTATTTCCATGTTAACTGGTCCAGACACATCAACTCCCATCTACCTTACAAAACATTCCCTGTCTCCCAAAACAGGGCTCGAATCCCGTCTTTACAACGTCCAAAGTACGTCAATGAGACCGGCCAAGACTCCTATTTTCTCTAATCGCAACACCTTCGCACCTCAACCCACTTTCCTCAGCTCTGACATGGTGACAAACGCATGCCAGCCAACCTTGCGAAATCTCCAAAATGTCCAAAGACCCCTGAAAACAACAGGCCCCCTATGTTCTGTCTCTTCCACAATCTCAGAGACGAATAGTTCCGCAAAGCCCCCGATCCGGAAACGGCCACTTGGCCCCGTGGCCGCTCTCCAGTTGGATTGCGGTGGGACACGCGCGGCTTCATGTCAAAAGCGTAAGGCTGGTACGACGTTGGGCAGGAGAAAAAAGTGCCCGAGACGCGCCGACTTGCGCGGATTCGCTCCATGTAATGAGAAGCACACGTGCCTGAATATGCACATGCCGACTTACACTGAAGCGGGCCGCCTGCGATGCCATCGTGACATGATGTGCCCATGGTGCGTTCAAAAAAGGATATTAACAGTCAGACCGGTGCGTGGCCATTATCGGTTTTCCGAGTGAGTCACCGGCACAAACTATGTGTGGGTTCGAGTTTACTTCCACGTAGTTGATAATTGAGGCTATCGCGAGATAGCTTTAGACGGCGCGCCGCGATAAATAGCCAATCTTGCTAGTGTCTGCCGCATGGCGATACGTGTATATGTGGTGTATTTGGTGGTTTTTTATGGTTCTTTGGCTTAATACGGCTGAATATTATATTTCTACATGTGATGCTTGCATGAGGCTTGCATCGTGCTTGTATTACGATTCGTATTGAAAATAAAGCAAGAAAAAAACTTGGTTAACAGTTGGACCTTTAACCACACGCCCCATCATCATACACGAATCAACAAAGAGTTGCACGAAACGGGGACAAATCTCAGACGTAACTTCAGTCGTGCGTGCCATTTCTACGGCTCTCTAACGCTATCTATCAAAAGGCAAAATGCACCCAAATGCTAATACCAACCACATAATCAAACCCCCAAGTCACCATACGCCCCGAAGCCCATATCCAGAGCGATCCCGTTGGGGACGGAACCATGCGGAATTGACGGTCCAGTGTCCAAATATGAAATGATACGCTCCTTATCCTTGACCCTTCTGCCTGTGTACCTACCTGCGCATAATCTATGGCCTGCTATGCCATGTTACGAAAACGCCATGCGATAAATTGAAACCCCGCTATGCTATAGAAACAACCATGTTGAGTGAATCGTGATGATTTCGCCCCAATACATGATCTTCACTTTGCATCGTCTTCTTCGTCATCTTCATCGTCGTCGTCGTCTTCCTCCTCAAAATCACCCATGTCCTCGTCGCTATCGCTGCCTCCAAAGTCTTCCTCTTCATCAGACATGTTCCAGAAGTCGGCATCGTCCTCGACGGGCTTGACCAGTGTAGGGGCTAGGTCGGTGGCTGTCGGCATTCGGGCACCAGATGGGATGTCTTTCTGAGTGCGGTCAACAACTTCTTTGGCACGAGAGTTGTATTCCTGCCGCTTATCGCGGTAAAGAACGCTGGCGTCAACGTTGGCAGGGGAGTTGATTTCAGGATCATCCATCAGTAGAAGGACTGATCGAAGGACGGACTCGACGCCGTGGAGCACGTTCCATCTCTCGCTCGCCGACTCGCCGGATTGTTCGTCGTCGCCTGGTCTATGGAGAATGGAGATGCACAGGTGACCGTCTGTGTAGACATTTGGATGGCAGATGTTCTTGGTAAGGAATTTAAAGGTCGGTGGTTGATAGGGATATTCGGTAGGGAAACGCATATCGGCCTGTATATGGATTTGTCAGTTGGGTGATGCATTCCCCATCGTGGCCCATGTCATCCAGAATGCAAACACGTACGCGGAGATAGGCGCCATGCCAGACGCTATCGGGGTTCACAACCCAAAGACCGATCTTCCAACGCAGAAGATTGGTCTCGTCAGTCTGCCCAAAGTCAGTGTCGCCCTTCTGGAAGAACCCTGACTAATGTTCCACCGCCTCGTACCTCAATAGTTACCCATTTCTCCTTCTCAAGAGCTTGCAACTCCTGCATCAAACGCCTTTGAGCCATGGTTGCTATCCGTCCGGGGACCAGAATGAAGAGTGTTATCGGGATTCTGGTCGGAGTCTAGGTGGGCCAAGCAGTGTGATAAGGTCAAGTATGAAGTACGGGAGTATGAAGGCCCAAAATGGCTGAGGCAGGGGGCGCTTTTTATAAGGGGCGATGGACGGTCCGAGGGTATTTGTGAAAGGGATGCCGAAGGAATGAGTGCAAAGGCTTGAAGCAAAGGGAGATGCGCGAAACAAAGGGCTGTGCCTCGTTGGGCGACTATTCATGTGCTTTTGGGAACGGCTTGCGGTTCTGTTCAATTTAAGATGACGAAGTCGGGCAAGGCGGGACAGAAGTTCAATGATCACTTCCAAGTGCCCAGGTGGTCAACCAGCGCATCAGGTGGCCGCCACATGCGCCGTCGGACTCCAGCAGATGTCACTGCCGCCTCGAATCATTGACATGGATGCTCCCAGTCCATTCAAGCCTCCCGAAAGTCAGTTGCTCAGGCGCCTCGCTTCCACCAGACCGTTAAAAGTACGTACATATGTACTACTACTCCGTACATGTACTAAGTTGAGCTTCAGCTCCACACCCCCCAGGCATTTGCCTCGAGCGCTTCAAATGTTGGCTCCAGGTTGCCGGGTCTTGAGCCAAAGCCAGATGTACCGATACCCAGCAACAAACAGTCATTCGGTGAGATACATCAGTATCATCAACAAGGCGCCCAAAGATGGCCCAAGACTGACTCTCCACGCCATTCGGGTTCAGCAAACCATTTGTGAGCGATACGGCGTCAACAGGTACATCGAGCCTCGAGGTTCCGGCCAGCCGGATCAGGCCCCACAGTCTGCCAAGTACCAGTCTACGTACTCCGTAGTACTTTAGCTATTTGTGCCCTTGTGCAGAGCCATTTCTCTCCCCGAAAGTACGGAGTACATGCAACATGATTTCTTTGTCATTTGATGCCACCATCCAGCTGCCATCATTGAACCCCAAATTCATCAATAGCCCAAACGCAAAGACACATTGAATGGTATTCCCGTGCTGACCTGAGACATTCATAAAAGCTGCCATTCTTGTAAATATGTACGAGGAAGACTGCGTTAATTTTCACCTGCCTCTCACATTTCACCTCACCATTACGTGAACAGGCATGAGTCGTGTACATCCTACAGGAGTGCATCCTTCCGGTTCGTTCCATCATAGCCCAAACGAAACGTGAGAGGTTGTGATTGGATAGAGCCCTACATCAAAAAGTATGATCGGGTCGGTCCGGCGTCCCCGAGAGACAATAGACTTGATCGTTGTACGGTGCAGGTCCTCTTTGCATTTTGCGCGTGTGTGCAAACTCCTTTGGAAGATAGTATTGTTCAAAGCTCCTATGTTAATCAATGCTATATAGCAGCTGTGCTTTCAAGTCACATATACCATGCTACAAACCGCTGCGCAAAGTCCCTCTACCAACATTCGCTCATGCCAACCGACAATATCCCCCTCTCCAGAAGTACTGCCCTACTACCGCCAACTCCTTGCCGAAAGGCCCTTAAAACAAGCCATCTTATGCACTCAAATCATAGTACACACAGGTACCAGTGCGAAAGTTGTATATGAATGCATGCTTAGAGATGTTCTTCATCTCATACGTCGACCGCCAAGTGTCGAGCTGTGCGTGGAGTTCCCGGATATACTTCTTCTCCGTCATGGTCACTGCATGTTCCACACTCTTCCAGCTCTCGTGCTCGGAAAGTCTTGTTTCTCGGAGAAGATCCATGACCTGGTCCGTAGTCTCGATAGCCAAGATCGGTCCATCCAGGTAGCTTCGCATCAAGTTACTAGCGCTGACCTGGGCCTGGTCCACCACGGTCCTGCGATTGAACTTCTTGCTCTTGGTACCAGCAACGAGAACCTTTACGTCCTGATCTTGATTTCGATCGCTATTATGAGTCCCACTAGATTCACTGCCGTGTGACACATTGCCTCTGAGTTTTGCGAGAGCCCGGGAATCGCGCTCCTTGAGTTCAGGTCGAAGCCAGGCCATTAGCTGGCCAAGCGGAATATCCACGTCTTGCACGTCTTTTCGACCCATGGTTTTGATCTTGAGCATCGCTTCTGGCTTAATCACAATGATCCATGAGTAATTCTCGTTCCTGTGCTTAGACAACAAGTCCTCGGGAGAACGCGCATCCTTGGCCATTTCTGCACTGATGTCATGGTCCCAAAGCAGCTGGAGAACTTCGATACCGGTGGACCGAAGGATAGCTGCGTCAAGTGAAGCAACAAGCACATCGCACTATCATAGATGAGTATTGTGACAAAACCCCTCACGCATCATCGAATGTACTTACTCTTCTTCCAGAAAACATCGTATTGGAATCCGACTCCTGCTTCTTGAGAAACGTTTTGCTTCCACTCTTGTTGGGAACACGAGCCAGACGTTCCCAGGCGAGACTAAACCCAACGGCATGCCTCTCTTCAAAGTTGCCGCCAATTTTCGGGCGTTGCTCTTTGATGAGGTGATCGTATCGGCCACCTGCAGCAAACACGTCCCTTGTCTTTCTATCATAGACGCAGGAAAACATAATTCCACCCATGAAAAAGTTTTCTCTCAAACTGTTGAGGGGACTAACGTAAAACTTGCTGATCACGCCAAATCGTTTGCAGTACTCTGCGACCTCTTTGAGGTGGGCCATGGTTGGCATCGCCCTTTGGTATAAATCACTGCCCTCAAACAGCACCTTGAGCTTTGAAATTGCCTTGTTGGGGGTGTCTAATTGCGATTAGTCTTAAATATTGCATCAGCAGGCTCACTGCTTACCTCGAAAATCGAATCGCTGGAGCTCGTCCACGCTTGTGGCCGACACGCCTACAGTTGTAGATCGCAACTCCGCCCTAACCTTCTGCCAGGTATGTCCATGGACATGCAGTTTGCTCAGGGCTTCAGCAGCCTGTCGTCTACACGAAGACTCAACTCCACAGTGATCAAAGATGAGTTGGAGGAGATCCGAGTGTCCCACTTGAAAGCACATCTGAGCATTTGATAATGACGGAAACGCTTGAACGATTTCGTCCAGCACCTTCAGCACTTCTGCCTCCTTAAGAGCGAGGTCAAGTGTGTCGGTTGTGACGATGTCAAAGTCAACCTCTCCAAACACGGATGGCTGGCCGGTATCTAGCTTATCACGATACACGTTATTAAAATAGAATGATCGCTGCAATATGGGGCCGCCAGTCTGTTTTGCAATCATTCTGGCATTGCCCATGGTCAAATCAAAAGGCAGCTGCAAAACAGTCCCATTGGGGTCCAAGACCTGAACGACATTTTCACCATACTGACTCGAGCGAGGATAGATGGAGGTTCGAGGCATTTCTAATGCTCCATGCCGTCGAAAGATGGAGATCAGGGTGCTCCGGACCACGCCCTGATTCAAAAGTTCGCTAGCGCTAGGCTGAGTACCAAGCATGTCCCAAGCATAGTCTTTGGCCGCATCATGAGGTCGTGCAAACAGCGTCGACAGCATCTTGCTATAATACGGCGAGCTAGGATCGCCTAGACCTGCAAGGGTTCGTCGAATAGTTTCACTCTCCATCTGCACGGGGAGCTTGCCGCTCTTCAACAAATCAGCACTGGACGGTCTCTCCTTGGGATTGTGATTGACCAGAGACAAGACAATGTCTGTCTGATTCCGCTCAGCTGGCTTGAAATCAGAAGGCAGCTCCGGCTTGGGTCGGCGTAGTTTTCCAATAACATCTGCCTTTTCCATACCAACCATAGGATGATAGCACATTTCGAAAAACATGATACCCAACGAGTACATCTGCCCTCGGTTAGCCCTTGGAACCTCAAAGTGTTGCGCGTCATGGCTTACATCGACTTTGGCGCTGTAAAGCCCATTGCCAGCTGATCGAACTTCTGGAGCCGAGTAGTAAGCAGTGCCAATACTTCGAGTCATGCTGTCGTTTTCAAGACTATTGGCAGCGACTTTATCGACCGAAAATTGTCCGCTGGTGGCTAGACCAAAATCGCCAATTTTGACATTATCGACTCCTTCAAGACTGCTGCTGATGAAAACATTTTCAGGCTTCAAGTCCCGATGCACGATACCAAGGGCATGAATGTGTGATATCCCTTCCAAAATCTGCCGAAACAGCCTCCAAATCTCAGATGTATTCTTGTACAGGTTGCGTGAAATCAAGTCCCGAAGTGTCTCAACAGTTAGCTCTAAGCGTTGAAAGCAAGGATGGCATGTTCATGTGCTTACTCGCTTTTCACAATATTCCATGGAAATATAAAGAATTGTTCGGAATGCACGGTGTTGCCTTGCACGCCTCAGTATCTCTCCTGCGCGTTCTTTCCCAGGTGACAAGACACCATTCCCAGCCTGGTCTGCGATGATGGAGCTATCGTCATCAGAGTCGTCCTCGATGGCATTATCATCACTGTCGTCATCATATCCAAACTCGATGGCAGCATTTGATGACATGAAGTCAAGGCCACCAGTGCTAGTCGCAAACTGGATGTCAATGCCATCAGAGACCGTTTCTTCCGTCTCCTCGGTACAGCCTTCAGTAGACGTGTCGCCCTCAGTATCAGTAGCGTCGGGGACTTCTTCAACCCAGGTATTGTAATAGCGGACCACAGCTGGATGGCTGAGTTGTGATAGCAACCGCACCTCCTTCAAAATCTCAGTCAAACTGGCGTGAGATCGCTGAGTGACCTTTTTGATAGCATAGATTTGCCCATCAAGTTTCTTCCGAGCTTTTACAACCTCTCCAAAACCACCTTTGCCTAGGCGACCCTCTTCCACAAAGTCCTCAGTGTATCTAGAAACCACTGCCCCACGACTCATGGAGTCTCGCCTAAGCCTCGCAGGAACAACATGAAGTGATGTCAGAGACGGCGTCGCCGACAGTGCCCTGGGGGAATCAGACTCTAAGAAGACTGGTGCGTCTGTAGCCAGAAATTCGCTTGAGCCAAGTTCAAATGGCCTAGGTCGCTTTTGCTTGTCTTCCTTGAAGAATCGACTGACTAGTTCTTCAAGCGGTTGCGAGAGTGTCAGCTCCTGCATCAGGTTTCGCGGTGACGAATACTTCTGCAGGACATCGAGACCAAATATCATTTGTGTAAATACAATACCAAACTCCCACACATCCGTCTTGTATGAATACTGTGGCTTGGATTGCCCGGCAATCTCGGGTGGTAGCCAATATGCTGACTTTGCAGAAGTCAGTCCTGGAAGTCCTGGCTTTGGGGTACTAGCATTATGAATTTCGCGCTGATACCAGCAATCCGACAACTTAGGGACAAACTCGCCCGTCGACTCTCGAAACAAAAGTACATTATTTGCATGAATGTCTTGATGCGCAATATTCTTGGAATGCAAAAAGCTCAAGGCATCTAACAAGTCCCTAGTCCAAGACCGAACTTTGCCGAGTTCGAGATGACCCGCCAGATCCAGAAGCTCCTCGAGCGAACCTTTAACCGCCATTGGCATCAATATTCTGACAGTCCAGAAATTCGCCACTGCCGCATCATCCGACTTCCCGCTTTCGACCTTGAAATCCAAAATTTCGACTAAACGGTTGTGATGAATTGATTTGGTATTCTTCAACTCCTGAAGTCTAGACTCGACGGACTGCAGCTGCTTCTTGAACTCCTTGGGGTCCCTCCCGTTGGGTCGCAGGATGGCTTCCTTTAGTGCTAATGTTTGGTCGCCTTGGCCATTGCCCAGAACCGGTCGGACAGTGTATACAACAGTGACCTTGCCCTCGCGCGGATCGCATTTACCCGTCACCGATTTGAAACTGAGGATATTACCCTCTTTATTCTTCACATGACAAAACTGATCGAAATCGATCCGCTCAATAGAGGCAGCAGAGTTGTCGCTGGGTAAGCCCTCTAGTCCATTAGGCCGTCGACTGAGCCTCGATTCCTTTGCCTTTTGTCTTTGTCTGTCAATCTGTTGCTGGAGCATTTCCGACATGACGCGCTCCTCCTCCTTGGTTTCTTCCATCTTTTTCCGTTCCTCATCTTCTTTCTGGCGCTGCGCCTTTTCTGCTAGTTTGGCCTCGTGTCGTTCTCGCTCCTCTTCGAGGGAAGGCAGCTGTTTGCCGGATGCTTTGACTTGAGCGGCATCTTCAAGGATGTCACGAATGCCCTCAACAATCCTGTCGACCATTTCCTGTTGATCTTTGGCAAATTCCCGAGGTTCGGTGTCTATGAACTTCTGGATCTTGAACTGTGTAGATTCGCGTAGGTCATCGAGGCCTTTGACAGTCAGAAGCGGTGGGGTTTTGGGGTACGTTGCCGTCATGACAAACCCAACAGTTACGGCAAAGTCGCTATCGATGGATGCTTTGATTCGAATTTCGAATGATGGCTCTGTCTTCTGAAGCTGCTGTCAGTTCTGTGCAAGTCATACGGAAAATGGAGTATGGAGAAACTTGGAGTCGGTGCGCGTAGTGGTTCTTTTTACCTTCCATGCGCTGTGCACATCGCTGTGTTTCACGAAATCATCTCCATATATGGCTTCAAGAGCCAGCAGCTCATTTTGCTGCAATTCTTCATATTCAATTTTTGTCGTTGCGTCCGGGGTCGTAGGCTTGAGGCCAGGGAAGCTTGAGTCATCGCTGCTTGCCTTGGGCAAGGACTTCTTCCATGCGCTAGATGCTTGCCACGCCATGATTGCGTGAGGTCCAAAGGAATGTCACAGCAAAGCTGCGACTCTTTAGACGGAAGAAGCCATGGCGGTCCGGCTTGGAAGATTGTGGATAGAATATATGGTTATATGTAAACTGAGGTGGTGAAGAAACTAGAAGGCAAAAGCTCCATGTCTTCTCTGAAGGCCACTAGAGCACCAGTTGACCCGCTATGAGGAGGCGTTCATGATAGCGGGGTATGTCAACATTGAACTGACAGGACGGCAACTGCACATTCATTTACCGTAACATTGAAGCTTCCCGCAGGGCTGAAGACATGGACGGACAGGCATCGGGAAATACTACTAGGTACATGTACCACTTGGTTGACTCAAATATTCGAACCGCCACCAGCCAGATTCAGTCATATTGGCGGCGTACTGTAAAATCAGCTATGCACGCATATGCTCAAATGTTTCCATCTTCTGGTGAATCATCTACATGGCGCTTCGATGATCCTGCCAGGAAGCGAAGCAGGGGTCCCACCCACATCAAGACTCAAACCTTAGTGTTCCCACCTGGAATGGAAGCCTGCCATGGCACCTGGCAGCCGTAGAGCCAGTCGACGCAACAACAACACAAAACAACAACAGACGCCTAAAGACGCCTATAACTCACACACGCACCCCCTTTGTGCTCCCATACTACGGACGCTCAATGGATGCGTTCATCATTCAGAGATAGCAGGCATAGCTCTTTGCTTCCTTTTTTTCTTGGAAATCCATATTCCTTATTCGCATTTTGCAATGCTTGGGTGGATGTTGAAGCGCGGCGAGAACGCGCCACACGCGGATGACGGAGGTTCGATGCCCACGATGTTTGTTTTCCCCCTTCAGCAGTCAATGGCTCTAACAAATTGATTTCATGCAGATACCACGCAAGTAGATCAGCCGGACACACCGGCCCCCGTATTTGCTGCCCGAGCCTTCAAGAGCGCGCTGTTTGGCACGCCGTCAAAACGAAATGAAGAGCGACGAGGATTCCGAAGTGCGGCATCGAGAAAGCCAACAGCACGGTCGTCCGAGACGCCATCAAAGCCGCAAGGTATACTTCTTACTCCAGGAACCGCGACATCCAAGAGGAAGCGTGTTTCCTTTGGCCATGACGTGCCAGGTGGCTCCACGACAAACCTCACAAGAATCACTGAACAAGACGAACCAACCGAGTCACACCAACCAACAGCTCCAACCCACGCTCCGACCAAAATCGCAGAATCACAATCACGACTTGCACAGCCCGAACCCAACGTGTCAGACGATGAGTGGGAAGAAGAGGAGGACTGCGGCCCCCATGACGTTACGCTGGACCTTAATGAACCGCACTCGCAATCTGGTCGGTACTGGAAAGAGGAATTTCTAAAGTACCACCAAGAGGCGAAAGCTGAGATGGAGAAATTGCTCAAGTATAAGCAACTGGCAAAGTCTTACGCACAGCAAAAGGACGCCGAGGCGATTGAACTTGCCGAACGATTGCGAGACGAACAACAGCGCGTCATCAAAATGGAAAAGAGGATTGCAGAAAATGCATCGCAAATTGCCTCCCACCGAACGGAGCAATCAGAGGAGGTCCAAGCGGAAATGCTGGCAAAACTCGCCAAACAATCATCACAAGCTGCGCAGTACCGTCATCGGGTCCAGGAACTCGAGGCTCAGATGGAAGAGTTGCTCACACAACGAGAAAATGGAGCCGGAATTGAGACGCCCCGCCGCCGATATGCCTCCAATTCTTCCATAGCAGCTACACAAAAAACGCTCACGGAAACTCGGCGAGAATTGCGACGAGCACGGTCCCAGCTGAAAGAACTAGACACATTGCGAGATGAAGTATTCACACTCAAAACCCAGTTGAAGAAGGCAGAATTGAAACTAGTAGTCATCGAAAAGGAGGAAGCACGTACCAACAATGGGCCGCGAGCCCAGGAACTTCGGACCCTGCTCAAGGCAGCCAAGGAGGACTCTCGACGAAAAGATGAAGAGATCCGGCAGCTCAAGAGTGAGTTCGAGGCATTTAGGAAAGAAAATGAAGTTCACGAAGCCGACACCAAGGCGGTCCTGGAACGGGCTCACAACAAGATTGCCAACCTCAAAAAGGAGGTGAAGGCTCTCAAGTCTACAGCTCCAGCACAAACACAAGCCAGACCGCACAGTTGGCACCCACAGAGCATTGGCGAAGAAAGAATGAAGGAATCAAAGTCAGACGAACCTATTCGAGCCAAGGTAGAAACGGCCGAAAGACGAAGCTTAGACGAACCCCTAGACATGACGAAGAAACGATCTCAACCACGCACATTGCGCGAAAAATTTGTAGACGATGCTACTTTGGCTCCGAATTTGGAATCGGCCAAGGCAGCAGAGCGAGGGAGTCTCGGCAAATCTAAGTGGAAGCCATTTGTTCCTCGATCGCCCAGACACCGCGCCTATACTGCAGAAGATGCAGTTAATCGTCACACTAGGTTGAACAAGTCCAAGGAGATTATAGCACCAGAGTTGCCTCCTTTGGCCAATAGTGCGAATCATGAACAGAGTGGATGGACATTCGCCGCAGATCCTCGGGTTGATCTCCTGTCTAACCGATTTGCCAGACTAGGAGGCCCGGGACCAAATGCCCAGATAAACAGCTCTCTTGTGGGTAATACATCAAAGAGCACACTGCCACCGGAAAGACGAGCAGCCGCTCTCGAAAGAATTCAAAAGAGAATGGCTGAGAAGAAGAGGCTCCGGAACCAAAGTGGCACCCACAACAAGGAGAATGTGCGGCCTTAGACTAACCGAGTATATATTATCTCTCGTTTTTGTCAAATCCAGCAAATTGAGCATGGCGTTTAGGATAAGGGTTGGATTTTCGTATTCTAGCAATTTGTTGTACTTTTAGGCAGCTCATTACCTTTGAAGCTTCTTCCATCAATATACCCTAGCAGGTATTCATGATCGGATGCGTCTGCTAGTGCCCGTTGCCGATGCCACAAATCTTGACCCACCTCCGACTTCAGGTAGACCGGACTTGACTCTTATCTTTACAAAGCACACCGGACTCCTTCCAATGGACCCGAAACAGGAAACAGTAGATTCACAAGACATACTTCAAGAAGAAATAGCCGACTTGGAGCGTCGTCTCGCAGCAGCCAAGACACGTTTAAGCACACCACCAAAGGGATCCGATACACCACAGCCTTCACTTCAATGTAAGTGCCTCACTCACCAGCCGGCACAGGCAACAGAAAATCTCACACCAAAAAGCACCGCTCAACTCACCAACACACTACCTCCTCCTCCTCTCCGACTCCCAACTGCCCATTGGTTCATTCGCATTCAGCAGCGGGCTAGAATCATACCTCGCGCACAACCGCCGCGCCACATTCTCCTCGTTCCTTCCGCTCTCGCTCTCCTCCTACGCCGCCACAACGCTGCCCTTTGTCCTCGCCGCCCACCGCGACCCTTGCTCTCTCATCGAACTGGACGACCAGCTCGACGCAGCGGTCATATGCACCGTCGGCCGGAGAGCCAGCGTCTCGCAGGGCCGGGCCCTCCTATCCATATGGGAGCGCTCGTTTAGAGCCACGCTCCCCAAGAGCGCCGACTTGCCGGTCCTCCGCGAATTCGCGGCCTTGCTCAAGGATGGCTCTGCGGATGGTGAAGCGCCGCCCGTCTCGGCACACCTGGCACCGCTGTTTGGTGCAATTTGCGCGATTGTAGGGCTGACGCTCCACCAGACGGCGTACATGTACATGGTGAGTCACCTCAAGGCGCTGGTGTCGGCGGCCGTGAGGGCGAGCATGTTTGGCCCGTACCAGGCGCAGAAGGTGTTGGCCGGGGAGCAGGCGCAGAGGTGGATCGGGCGAGTGATTGATCGGGAGTGGGAGACGAGGGTTGACGAGGCCGGGCAGAGTGTGCCGGTAATGGATTTGTGGATTGGACGCCATGAGGTTCTATACTCGAGGATCTTTAATAGTTGACCTGGGGCGGAGCTGGAAACCCATACCGGGATGGTGTCTTGTTACATTGGTATCATTATTGTATAAAATACATTTCTATATATGTTCCTTGCTTCCCCCACCGTAGAAAGAAATAAATGAGAATACAAACGCCTTATTCGTCATCGCTGTCGCTATCATAAGATACAAGAGGCCCTGTAGGAGCCGCCGCCTTGGGCTTTGACGTTACAGCTACTTTGGCTTTGTTGAGTGCTGCCAGTGTAGAGCTGGAAAATATACCGGCCGTTTCTGGCGCTGGGGGTGGTGCTGTTGTGGTTTCGGGTTCTTCTGTCGACTGGCCATTTTCCAACATCAAAGGCTGCTGGTATTCTACCTGCAAACCTTCGTGGCCCACAGGATTGACTGCGGTTTTGCCTCGAGCGAAATGCACATCGTCGGGTGCCTCATCCCCTGCCAGGCCGTAACTGCTCTCTATGCGTCTCCGCTTCCTGGCGTCAGGGCCTTTGCCTTCGATTTCAGCCACATACTCCGCAGGAAGCGCTCTGCGAACAGCTTCAGCAGCCTGTTCTTCGACTCGTCTTGCCTCGCGAGCTTGGGCCATGGGGTTAGGATCGGCCGTGGCCCATCGCACATTTAGGATCTCATCGTGGTCTAGGGACTGGTGGGCCATGGCTTCTCTGGCGAATTGGGCGTTGGCCTCGTTGGTGTATGTGATGAAGGCGACACCTCGCGAGTTTAAGACGCGGACTGCAGACATTATTAGTTGGTCCTGTTTTTTGTGTGTCTGTTGCGCAGCAGACGGGTGTCACCTACTTCGTTCAACCTGTCCCCATTCCGCAAAATGGCGAGCCACAATCTCTTCGATATCGTCCGTCACATGAATGCGACCCACGTAAATTGTTCTATTCTGGCGCATGAAGCTTCCGACACCACCCATATCATCTCTGTAGTCGCTGAACTTTTCGCGGCCAAAGCAGTCGACATTTGGGTTGAAAAGGTCGAACGTCCCCGGTAATCGGTGCAGATTTGTGCAGTCTTGTCCCAGCGGGCAGA